CATTTTACAAGATACATATGATGCATGATACATTTTTGCTCAGGGCTGATTTTACGGAGGGCTGATATTTTGGTAGTGCGGATCTATCATTCGCTGCGTGCAATTTTAAAAGAAACGGCCTGTGGTGCATTCAAATGAAGGAGAATGGTGAAAGCTTTCGAGCATTTTGGTGAAAAGAAAATTTAATTTTCACCCTTTTCCGTCTATACGGAGTTGGAAAAATGCTATCACGGTGTTAAAGGTCCGCTTTAGTACATTATGATTTCCATTATGCGGGCACTGTGATAACCGCTCTCTGTACGACATCACTGGGCTAGCCAAGCATGCCATCGTATGCACACTTCGAGGTACAGGTCTAAACGTCGAGTAAAATGATCAAATGCATATCGCAATATATGATTAAATACATATTGTAGGGGAAAACGGGGCAAAATGAGACATCCTGGCAAAACGGGCACCCCGCGACTTCGGCTGTTAGAGGTGGCACCATCGGAAATCAATTGTTTAAACTAAAGCTTCTCTCACAGGGGACGGAAATGACGTGTACCGGGCCTTCTTGTCGGCGGCCGTCATTGGAGGAGGACGTGAGTTGTCGCTTTCCATTTTTTGTTATTATTTTTGTGGTGATTCGAACGTTGTTTATTCTACGAGTATAATGAATCGTGAATTCAAAGTTGCTGCGCTTTGATGGTGCATGCATGCAAATTCCTTGTGACCAATTGTGAATTTTTCGGGCCAGTTTTCGTTGCGTGTCGAATCATGTTGTGTTGTTGGCGTTCATGGGGCAGGACGGTTGAGGCAAAATGGGCAATCGGGGGAAAATAGGACACAAAAGGTCCCGTTTTGCCCCACCTGAAATATGATTATCGCAAGGAAAGTTTGGCTTAAATAAGCCATAAGCCAATGTTTCAATGGTAGTAGCAGGCACATGAGTAGGGCCCGAAACAAGTGAATCGATCCTGTTTCAGTTCAATGGTTAAATAGTGGTCGAACGTCTGCGTCAAACTGGGAATGTGCTGCCTTGCGATTTGTCATTTATAATTCATCGAAGGTGCGCATGTGATAGCTCTATACTTATCGTTCCTTTTAGGCCTAATTTATTGTAATTATGTTGTTTAACAAAGCTTATTCCTGAACATAAGAATTGTAAGTGCCTACCTGCGATGACCTGGTTCGGTATCACGCATTTGCCAATCTCTTTGATAGCCTCTATTACTTACCTGTTAGTCAGCAAACAAGCGACCGACCCGTTAGAAAAGGTATGTTAAAAGGAAACTTAGGCTATGAAAAAGGTGAAAAGTTAATACATATTTGGTCATTATTGCATAAAACTCACAGTACATTTCGTACTTTTCCGTACATTTAAAGGGTGTATTTCTCTGCATGCACAGGCACTGGCGTAAGAACCAACGCATAGGTATTCTGTCTGACAGAACTGGCATAGAAAAATAAATTTAAGTTTTCTTTTCTCTGCTTATGGGCAAAACCCAGCAAATTGTAGTAAGTTTTAATGTTTATTTATCATGTTGTGCCCAGAAACGCTGCTAACTCCAATAAAGTGTGAAAAAGCCTTACATTCCCTTTAAACATATACGATTCAATGTTTTGTTTTTTTAATTACTAATTAGTTCAAGGTTTCTTGTTCCTTAAGCATTAGGACTGATTTATTATATAGCATTTCATAGAAGGTGTTATATCGCCCTTAATATTGAACGTAACTGATTTAACACAAGAAATGAAATGCCCTATTACCAACTAGTTATAGGCATGCAGTTAGGTATTTCGCTTGATAATTGTACTTAATTTTCATGCAGGTAAACGTTTTCTAGTTTATAAAAAGGGGAGTATAGGCACACTGAGGGGTCCAGGGAGGGGTGGGAAGAGCGGGGGGGGGGGGCGCAAGGGGCAAATAATTCTCCCAAATCCGGTTAACGGTCACGACTGACGTTCTCTTTTACAGAGGAAACTACTTCGCCAGACGGCAAATGGTTCGAAATTACAAGAGAAAAACCGATCGGCCAATCCTGGAAGCAGGATACGATGACAAAGGCCATCAAAGCAGTCAAGGTGGAAAAAGTGTCCACCAAAGAAGCGGCACGCCGCTTTCTGGTCCCGAAGTCGACTCTCGACAGACGGCTGAAAAAGGCACGGGCGATGTCAATAACAGAGGCCACAGAGAAAGTCCTGGGTCGACACAAACCTGTTTTCACGGAAGCTCAGGAGTGAGGTTTGGTACAGCGCATACTGGAGCTCCAAAACCGGATGTTCGGAATAACGCAGACTGACCTCAAGAAGCTCGCATATGAGTTCTCAGACAGAAACAAAATCATTCACCTATTCAGCACCGTGACGAAGATGGCAGGGGAGGCGTGGATACGGTGCTTCCGCAAGAGAAACCCCACGGTCTCACTAATGACACCAGAGGCCACAAGCGTTGCTCGCGCCGCGTTGTTCACTCAGTCAATGTCAACGCGTTCTTTGACAATCTTGAGTCGCAGATGGATTATGCCCAGTTCGGTCCCACACGCATCTACAACATGGATGAAACGGGATTCAACACGATCGCAACAAAACAAGAGAAGGTGCTGGCGAGGAAATGGTTGCAAGTAGGTCGGCCAACTGACATCTGCGGAAACGAGGTCCGCTGGTTATCGGGGGTCATGTGTATCAACGCTGCGGGGAGCTACATATCTCCAGGTGTGATATTCCAATAAAGAGGGCCAACCACAGTTGGAGAAGGGCCCTTCCCTCAGGTAGCCTGGTGCTGTACCATGAGTCTGGTTGGATGCAGAAGGAGCTGTTCGTGTGAAATGGATTGACCATTTCATACAGCACGCGAAGCCCTCGAAACAGGATGCAGTCCTTCTCATACTGGATGGACATGCCAGCCACACCAAGAGCCTCGCAGCCATCCTGCTGTGCAGGGAAGCAGGTGTGGTGATGCTCCCCATTCCTCCGCACACCTCACACCAGCCACCTTCAAGCCACTGGACCGGACGGTTCCATGCCTTCCCGTCAGCACGCTCTCTTCAAAGGCCAGAGAAACGTGGGTCCGAAAACAACCCTGGATTAAAGTCCATCACAGTCTGTAAAGGAGATGGGGGAGCTGAATCGGGGTTCAGCCTAGGTGCTGGCGGCAAAAAAAAACAGTGAAGACGGGCGTTGAAGGGCTTGGAAGTCACGGGGAATCTTTCCCACAAACCGTCATGTGGTTTGGCGAAGAAGACTTCGCAGCGGCAGAAACAAGCGAACATCCCCGCTGACCCGGCACCGCAGACGCAACCATTGGGTCTCAACTCAAGCAGCAGCTCCTCTGCCCTGCCTGGGCCCGCTGACTTGATGTCTACGGTGAGTACGAACGTTATCGGAAATTCCTCGGAAAACTGTCCGCCGGAGACGCAACGCAAGGCTGGATATCCGCGGGCACGAAAGCTGGAATTAATGCCGAAACTACTATCCGGCGAAGTTGCTCACCGCTGGGGTCTGCTGCCAGATAATTTCCTCAAACTGCCAGCGATGACGAAGATGACGCTCTAGAAGTGTCATGCTCAGCTGGACCGAGCCATGCTTCCTAAGGTCAAAATGACACGCTCGCATACTCCTATGTGTCTCCCCGCGGAATCCTCCCTGTGCCAAAAGTGTACTCAAGGGATGAGAGAGGTTAAGGACTAAAGAAAGGTAAAACATGTGTCTTGACTGACACACCATGCAAGGAGGAACTCGAGAAGAGACTCAAAGGAAAAGAAGGAAGAGGGAGGAAAGAAAATGACGACAGAAGTCAGTCTAGAGGAAGAAAAAGGAGGAGTGTAAAAACTCAGAAACCGCAGCGCAAACAAAAGAAGCGTACGCCGCGAAAGCTTACCTTTGAGGAGTCCTCGGACGAGGAAGATGTAGCTTGTCTGTACTGCGGGTCCTTCTTCTCCATGTCCAAATCGAGCGAGTCTTGGTCGCGATGTGCTCTATGCGATAAATGGGCGCACGATGCCTTTGCAGGGATTGATGAAGAGGACGAGCGCGTGTTCGTGTGCGAACTGTGCCGCAATGACTACGCAGGCTGATGTCTTGTCTAGTTTCGCCATTGGTCGTACCTGCTGACGGGTCCACTAGACTGTACTTTTTTCGCGTTTTGTGTTCACGGTGAATAAGAAGTGGATCGGTGAGAAGAACGAGTGAGTGTTCCTGAGCGAACTTTGCTCGATGACTTGTGTGTTTGAGGCTCGGTCGTTGTCGTCTCATTGTGCAACCACCAAGCTGTATTCCTCTAGTTCTGTGTCTAAGCCATGCAGCAATGACTGCCGCTTCATACCAAGCTGTAATACACATTTGCTGGCCATTATAACTCATATTCGTGGGATCATACTGGGGAAACGAGTATGGAGTGGGATGGTTCGAACAAAATATGAGAGCCCAAACCTAAGAAATATAGCTATGGATGTCCAGATAAATATCTACTCACCGAGCAATGCAATTATTGATGCGCTTTCATTAAAAAATGATAACTTTGAAAATATTTAGT